AGCGACCCCTACTTGGATTTCCAAGGCAGTATCGCTATGGAAGTAGATTGCCCCGTCTCTTTCCTAAAGTTAGTGCACCAGGTGTGGGCTCTGTGTAGCACTGACATGCCCAGCTATTCTGGAAAACAAAGGAATCTTGATTGCTTGGGTTAATTTCAGAAACCAGACTCCAAGGGTCAAACTCAAGGTCTTTACCCCAAAATTTAGACTAAGCTAGAGAAAGTCTTTTGTGTGGAGGGGCTAAAATCAGAAGACAGTGGATATGAGAGAGGTGATGGGAAACCAAAGTCCACTCATGGTCTTGTGTGTCAATAAGTTCTCACAAAGATTAACTTTAGGAAAGACAGTATCTAGAAGGGGGTAGCTCTGGAAACAGACACAGAATCACGTGTGCCCACACACTCCTAAATTTTTTTGTGTGGCACCAGGACAATAACCCTACTTTGAAGAACAAAGTACTAAACAAACCATGAACACTGTCTTATTTAATCCTCAGTACAACTCTGTAAGGTTTTCACGGTTATGTCCATTTTAGACACGAGTAAGCTGAGGCTTATGGAACCCTGGGGGTGCAATGGTTGAGCAGAGCCACACATCAAATGGTTGGCGGTGTGAATCCATTGGCTGCTCACCCAGTGAGAGGAGATGTGGCAGTCTGCTTTCGGAAAGATTTACAGCCTTAGAAACCCAATGGGGCAGTTCCTGTCTGTCTTATAGGAATGCTATGAGTCAGAATCCACTCAATGGCAATGACTTTGATTTGGGGTTCTGTATAAGCTGAGGCCTGGTGAGACAAGCGTACCACTCCAAAGCATCAGGGTGGGAATTTCACCTACACCCGCTTCTCGCCATTGCCACCTTTCCTCATTCGACAGCCTCACAAAAATCTTCTCTCCCCCATTACTTATTAAGAACTTTTCCCAGTGCATCATCACATACCCCAACTACGAATACTGAGCCCAAGGAGTCAGCCTCTGTAACACTACACACACCCATTCAGCTGCACCCACATAAGCAAGACTGCAAAGGCAGCCCTGGCCTTGCCCCAGAAACAGATCAGCTACCCGTCTCCTCAAGAGCCAAACTTTCGAGCTGTGCTAGAGACTCACACTCTTAAGATGCCAAGACTGTGAGGTCAAGGTGAAACATGCTCTCACCCCATGAGGCAGCAAGTCATTCTGAAGATTCTAACTCTCCTGCATCCTCCAAACCCAGACAGCACACCTCCCAACAGTTCTTTGACCCACTGGTAAACACACTGGGGAACCTGCATAGCACCCTCATTTGCAATCCTGAGATCTGTCCAACCCCAGCCCTTCAGTCTAGTCTCTCTGCAGGACCAGCCCCAAAACAAAAATATAGAATAGAGAATGTGAAATGTTTTGTGGACCGAAGAAAGCTTGGGAAAGGAGGTGACGCGTGAACGGGCCGGAGCTGAGACCGTTAGAGGCGGAAGACCCCACAAGCTCCTTGGCAGATTTTCCCTCATGGCGAGTAAGTCAGAGTTGCACCAAATGCTTATGCCTGGAACATGGCAACGGAACTGACAATGGCAATGGAACCACTCTGACCCTAAGGTCAAATTCTGGAAAATGACTCCCTAAATAAAGGGGGGTTCCCCTCAACAAAGAAAGGGGAAAGTAGATTAGGCTGGCAATCGGAGAGTCCAATCAAATAAATGAGTAGGTTAGAGGAGTAAAACCACATGACCATCTATTTAGTAAATAGAGACTGAAACACATTTCATAAAAATGTTATTTTTAATATATATATAATATACAAACCCATCATGGGATAGGAATGGAGTGGCTACTTCCTTAGACTGATAAAAACAGAAACAAAATCCTATATATTTCATGTAAAAGGAGACACAGAAAATATAACATCATTTGTATAAAATGTTACAATATATAAAATTACATATTATCTGCCGACATCACACATGGAAACGTCCAAAACTGACATGAGTGTGTGGTAAAATTTCAAGATGGTGGCGATTTCGGTGAAGAAAGAGAAGAGAAGAAGTTGGGACATTGAGCTGGGACTCGGTTGTAGCCATTAACATTTTTTGTTCCAAAGGAAAGCTATCGAAAGCAAAACAAAAATGCAACACTTTACAGGCCCAACTGAGAGCCAGTGCCACGTTGGAGGCATCCCACTAATCATGGAAAGGGTTCCTATCATCATTGCTCTCACTCCTCGTTGGTCAAGCCATGACCCAACACAGCTAGAGGACAGAAGCCAAAAACAATGATCAATAGTTAAGAAAATGAGGCAAATGCGCAACATTTCCCTAATATCACACAGACTCAGGAGACCCACCTAACTAAATAGACAATTTTATGTGCATAAAAACGAGTTTTGTCTGATTGCAGATGACATGAAAAATATGACAGCTATGACCAATGGTAATGCTCCCTTAGCAAACACTGTGTTAGTTACAGAACAGAATGTTAGAGGGATGATTCCCACCTTACCTACTAAATGTTTTCAAAATCACCATGACTTCTGACCTAATGTTTATTTATGCAAAGGAAAACATGAGAAACTAAACAAAAACAAACGGAAAGAGCCTATTTAGGTCCACTGCTAGAGAGTTAATTGAGTGAAAAATTATAATCCAGGTCAT